AGAACCGAACCGAGCCCTCCCTCCGAGCAGCCTCCCGCGGCTCCCGCGGCCGCTCCGTCCCTCCCGCCCGGGCGGCACCGGCAGCGGCGGCGCGCAGGTGGGTCGGGGGCTCGGGCGTGTCCCGGAGGAGGGGGTGTCCCCCCGGAGGGTGTCCCCGAGGGGGGGTGTCCCCCCGGAGGGTGTCCCCCCAGGTGTCCCCCCGGGGCCGGGGGCTCAGCGCGGGGCGGCGGCGCTCCCCCAGCCTCGCCCGGCTGCTGTGAACACGGAGCTTTCCTGTTTTTCCGGAGCAGAGCTGGCCTTGCGGGAGGCGCTGTTCGCCGCTAGGTGAGGGGCCCTCAGTCAGGGAAAAAAAACAACCAAAAACCCGAAAAAAACCAGGAGGAGAAGATGGAGGAAGAAGAGGAGGATGACATGACGTGCGGAGACTTGGGAAACGGACTTGGGAGAAGACCGGGAGGTGTTTATGAAGGGGAAAACCTACAAAATTCCTACTCAATTAGATCTAGGAAGGGATCTGGAAAGACTTGTAATTCCCCCTTGTCGGCAAAGGCAGCAGAAGAAAGCGATGCTGCAGCTCTTCCTGGTCCAAAACGAAACAGCTTTTACGATGGATCACTCAAAAATCCTGCCTCTAGTTCCACACGGCAGAATAGCTGTGGTAAGAGTGCTTTGGGACTTAATTATTCACCATAAGAATAATTTTTGTCAGTGAAAGTGAGCAGTTCAGCTGCCTCACAAAGTGTCATCGAGTTTAATTCAAACCACCTGCCAAAACCTCCAACAGGTTGAGCACACGGTGCCCGATGGGATCCTCCACCTTCCTCCCAGAACACCAGCAGCAGAACTGCTTCTCAGTGCTCAAGGCAGTGTAAAATTCTCAGTGTAAAATGTCCAGTTTTAAAGTGTTTAATTTTGCGTTTGACAGTGACATTTAGCAAAGAGCACCCTGTGGTGGGTGTAGGTGTAGATGTGTCTATGAAATTGGGTGGCACTGCTTGGATTCAAGTAAGTCAAAGTCTTCCCAGAGACAGTACCTAAAGCTTGTAGCTAAATATTCAAAATCTTACTTGCTCTTTACTTGAAATGAGTGAATTGGCTTACTTTAGGGGTTAGGAAGTTGTTTCTAGAACCTGCATCGGCATTCATCTCCCTTTTTTGTGAAAACAATGCTGCTGTAAAAACAGTCGGGTGTAGGCAGTGCTGTTCACTACAGTCCGGCTGCTTTCCTGTCAAATTTGACTCTTTTGACCAAGGTATTTCTGTGTAACTTTCTTATTTCTCTCCTTTAGACGTTTCCCCATTATCCTTTCCACAGTAAGCTGAGCTACCTCTGTCTCTTGAAAATTGCCCCTACTTCTGAACAGTGCTAGCTGTTTTTTTGAGCGTGGATGTTGCAAAGTTACAATCAGAAAAGAATATAAAAAATTTAATTCTTTTTCTAATCAAGATGGCAGTTTTGTTTGCTTTCTTTTAAAGGAAGTTATAAAATGTTTGCCTTTACTTTCTGTCTCTTTACACTAGATATTTTTTCCCCCATTTCACTTCCTTAATTGTGAAGCAATGTGTTTGATGTTTGTATTGATGTGTTTCTTAAATCTGTTTATTAGCTCCACAAGAAAAAAAAACCCAAGAGAAAGGTGAAAATTCACCTTTGTATTTTATTCGTTTTCAGGGTAAAACTTTTATTTTTTTCTTTAAATATTACAATATCTTACTTAATCTCCTCTATTAATCCTACAGAATCGATTACTGAAGTGTCAAATGAAGAGCTAAAGCAACAACTTCGGGACACTCTGGAGGTTGGTAACAGTGCCCAGGGTGCTGCTCTCCAAATCTGCATTTCCTTTCTGTATAGCAAGAGGATTTGGCATGCTGAAAAACTTGGATGGACCCGTGTTCTTGAAATTAAAGTGGGAGTTGGAAGCCTCATTAAATTTTACATCAGGAAACCGTAGTGTGAGGTGGACTTTATATTCCAGGGGGGTTGTTTGTGGGGTTTTTTGAGGGGGCAGAGGAAGTACTTCTAAAGATGTAAAGAATATTGACGGTATTGTTGTAGTTTTCTAGCAGATGTTCATGTTTTATTAAGTTTTGGGGCTTGAAAATCTGCAGTGTAAACAATCTTTGTATTTTTAGTCTGCGTTTTTGTTGAAAGTACAAGAAAATGTACTGTTGTTAACGGTGCATTTTGATTTTACTGTGGTTGAAAGTGTTGAGGTGTTGGCATCGCAGTCAGCTGACTTCAGCTGTAGAAATACACTTTCCATCTGCACTGCGTTCTTTAACCCCAGGTGAGTCCATGAAAAGACATCATACAGGTAAAGCAGAGGTTTGTTTTTTCAAGAGGGTAAATTTACATTGGTTTTACAGTCAAATCTTGACAGGATTACCTTGGATTTTACTCAGTGTATCTACTTTGTTTTGCTTCAGGAGCTTGAAATTTTGAAAGTTGAGCTTGAAGCATCTCGAAGACAGCTTGAAGGAAAAGATGAAGCTCTAAGAATCCTGCAGAGCATGGTAGGAGCTGTTCAGAAATCACTTGGTACTTGGTGGTAACAAGGAAAACAGAGGAAATCTTCTGCTACTCCTCATCAAAACCTTAAGGCCTTCCCAGGGCTGCAATTTAAATCATTGAGTCTGCAGGTGTCTACAGACTTGCCTCTACAATTTACTGGAACTAGTGTGTTATTTAAGAAGACTTTACTGTTGTAGCAATTCTCATAATTTTATCTTTGAGGATCCTTCAGGATTTATCTACTAAACATAAAATTAAGGCCTTTTTCCAGTCCCTTATATTGAAGATTTTGCCAGTGCTCGGAATCCTGCTGCAAAGCATGAGCATTTGGAATTGATTGCTCCATCTGTATGCTTTAAATGTCAGGTCATTCTTTTGTTCACCATTTGTAGTATTTTTGTTCTCTTTCATAACAAATTCTGCTGAAATTGGTTCCTGGGATTTAGCCTACTTACATAACCCATTTCTAGTTGTCTGGTTTCTCCCCTCAGATATCCGTAGCAAGGCAGGCCTGGATCAGAGCTCAGGTGTGTTGTAACCCAGTTTTTCAAGGTGTGATTTCCTGCACGAGCCCTGAAGAAGACGTGGTCTCGGGTTAAATGATGCTACACCCTCACTAGCAGAGGTTATGGGTTTGAAACCCAAGTTATTTTGCAAGTTAGACTCGAGATCAGAACCCTCTGGGGCTCACGAGCGAGTTGCTGGTGTTCTGCAGGCTGCTGTTTAACTATGAACGTGGGCATCTCTAGGTGTGACAGTGAGAATTAACTCAGTTTAATCACAGTACTTGACAGAGTTGCATTTTGGGTTTTGGTTGTCTGTTACTTTTGCAGGCAGTGTTTGATAAAGCCACGAGCCATACTAAAGCAATGCTTCAGAAAACTGAGGAAGAAAAGAGGACTCTAGAGAAGGTAAGTGTGGGTGTTTCCTTCACACACAGAAGCCCATGGCTATTAAAAGGGGGTTATCAGGCTGTTTATTTAAATAAGTGCATACCTGACATTAATTCCAGGGGTCTTGTTAAAGGAGTTTCTGTTCCTTTTTAGTAGAAAGGGAAATATTAATTTATCAGTCTTTTGATCTAGGCCTTTTCATGCTTTAATATCAGAAAATTGCCAGAGCTCTTCCTGTGCTTTCAGCTGGGGTTTGTTGTGGATTTCAGTTGCTCAGAGTGAGCTGCACAACTCCTCAGTGATTCAGCTGAGGCTGCCCAAGGGCTCTGAGAAACGGGTGCCCAGTTTTAGTAGGGAAGGTGCGAAGGAGGTGGCATTGAGCTCCCTTGTTAAACTGAGTTTTTGGCTTTCTTCCTCTTACTGTTCTGTTCCACATAATAGGGGTGGGATAGGGAGATGTGGCAGCATGGCTTTATCTTTGGTGGAGCCTCTGGAAGCATTAGTTCTGTAACAGAGTCCATAGGCCAGTGATGCAGAAACTCTGGTGCCTGGTACCAGATTTGTTACTAGCAGTGTCACAGATTGCCCCTGAGATCTCTGCCAAGCCCAGCACCCCTGGCATCCTTCTGATGGGAACTCTGTAATGAGCTGCTGCAAGCTTGTTTTGTTTCCACAGGAAATAAATATTTTGCAGTGGGAAATTGAATTTGATCAGGACAGATTTAAAAACATAGAAGACACCTGGACAGAAAAATATGACAGGTATTTGACTTAAACTGTGTATCACTGGGGTTTTTGTTTGATTTTTAAAAAAATTGCACTGAGTGCTCTTTGTCATCTCTTTCGTGTTCCAAACTTGCTTCCTCAAATTCCTTGGGGGTTTGGTGTCTGGAGTCAGGCTTTGCTAGGCTGAGGGGTTTTTTTTTCATCATATGACGTTAGCCAGCTGGGGACTGATTATCCTTATTTACCTTAACTCTAGATGAGGCAGAGAAAATAATGGCATATGCATGCATGTGGAAATATGGTTTCCTGGTTAATCATTTCTTTATTGTCCTGCACTGTAGGTCTGGGCGTGACTACAGGTGAAATGCAGTGCTTTAGAGAGAGGCTGATCAGGAGGCTCTTTGTTAAATAAGAGTCACTCTGGGTGGACAGCAGGTGTGGTTGGGCAAGAAGAATGTGCCAGAGGCACTAAACTAATAATACATAACAGACCTTGAGAAATGGCACCAGCAGACTCCCTCATTTACATGTAGAAATTGTATCTCTCAAGTCTATTATTGTCATTACTATTATTGCTGTTGTTTTTACAATTCAGCATATGTAGCATATTTATTTAAATATGTTTCAACTTCAAATCAAAGAATAAGCCAAAAGTTTGCAAATTGTTCCATAGATACATTTGTCAAGGGATGCCTCTTCAAAAGCTCTCTGGCTTTCCTGGCTGAGTAGGTTGGAAGTGCAGCTGAGCACAGAACTGGTGCTGACTGATGAAACATACTGACATAGCTTCAGAAAACTGACAGGGGCTCAGCCTGCTTTGGAGAACATCTCATATTTTTCTGATAGTTTTCTGACATCTGAGGCAGCAGGACAAAAAGAAGGTGCATTTTCCTTTGGCTTTTTTCGGAGCGAAATAATTCAGACAAGGCTGTATTTACTGACAGCTGAGGAGATGCACCAAATAAATTGTATTGCTTTGACATTTAGGACATCAGATTGCCACTGTTCTGTTCAAAAGGGAAATACTTCAAGGAAAAGTGCATTATCAGTGCATATTGTGTGTTCTCACGTTGCAACACCTGAAGGCACAGCTGTTCTTGAAGACAGGATTCAGACTACAGGAAGTTTACAGACCTGAGCTGTCACACCTCTAATACCAGTTTTGTTCTTTCAAGGAAGTAGGATATTTCTAGCAAGTGTTTCAGAGGTTCATAATTACCAATTTTTTAGTGTTTCTTATGGAAATGTGGCACTTAAAATTCATCTCTTGTTAAAGCTGTGGGCACTGCCTACTTACATGAGTGTTTTGTTTTGTTGGTTTTTTTTTATTTATATCTACTCCTTTCACTTTTTTTTTATTCCATCCTTTAAGTAATCCTAATTTTTATTTGCAGAAATATTAGATATGATGTTTTAACAGGTTATTTTTAAAATTATTGAGTGCCCAATTAAAAACACTTAAAAACTATAATAAAGTAATTTTCTAACTTCAACAGGATATATTGTGAAAATGCAGCTCTTAAGGACGCATTGAAACTGAGGACAGGAGAAGTTAAAACACTTAAAGCTGAAAATGCAAGTAAGCCAGCAACAGCTATTGCTTTGAATATACTGTTTTTCAGGAATAATTCAGGATTCAGTTGTGATGGAAGTTTCCTGTGGAGATCAGTGTCTTGCTACTGGCAGCTGATCTTGGGGGATATGCAGAAGCCTGGAAATTAAACTGGAAAGCAGCCAGGACAGCCACTTAATCAGAGGACTCGAGTCCCTTTCCTTTATTTTTGCCTTCCAAAAAGCTTTAAAGTCATTACTGCCCCGGTGTTGTGATGTTCTAAATGAGAGGCTGCCTGACTTTTAAGTGTACAAAGAGACAGCACTCAGTCCTGAGGCAGAGCAATACAGGAAATGGTCTCTCTCTAAGTGGGCCATTACTTCGGGAGAACACAGAAGGAGAAACGACTGGGATAAGAGTTTCTACTTCTACACTCTCATCTTGTTCCCAAACTGATGCTTGAACTGTAAAACTGCTTCGTTTGGGTGCAGTTGAGCTCAGAAATTAAGAAATCTGAGCAGCAGACTTTTGTCATCTCTTTCTTTGTTTTAATTTACAGTCCTGAAACAGCAGTGCTTGGAATTCCTTGCAATGCTAGATGTGAAACAACAGAAAGTTTTTCAGGAGAACATGTCATTGAACAAAAGTGACATTACTGATTTTACAGGTCTTGAAGTAAGTATTGCCTATGTGTTTTTCCAAGTGGCTGCTTTAGAGACGTGTTTGTGTTCAAAACACATAGAGAAAATTCATTGCTCATTAGGTATTTCTTTATTTAAACCCATTTTTAGTAGCTAATTAGCACATGCTTTTGCATGCCTGTTAATCATTTTCCTCTTTCTGGTGCACCTTGCAAAGGCAGATCAGACAGAAGAAGGCATCAGGCTATTTTTCACAAGCTATGATGCTTGTTTTTCTTCTTCCTAGCTCTTAAACCCTGCTTCCTCGTGCTTCACTGAGCCCAGTAGTGTCCCAGTGAGGGCTGCAGGGTGTAGCACACCCACCTGTCGGGTTTTGCCTGAAAACACACCTCTCATTGTGAGTCAGGAGCCTTCCTCTCCGCCTCCCGCACCTGCTCCCGCTGCCTGGCGCTCCCTGTGTGGTTCCAGGGTGGGTTTTTGTGCTGGCACCTCTGTGAGCACATCCTGAGCTGTGGTTTGCTTTTGGTTTTCAGCTGGCAGTGCTCGGAGCCTGCACCTGCAGTCCTGCTGAGGGGCAGCCCTGTCCCTGTGCCAGAGTGGCAGCTCTCGCTCGGAAGCAGCTCCTCCATCTCAAGCAAGAGGTGACAGTGCCTGGCTGGGTGGGGACAATGGGGGAGTGCTCCTGCACCAGTTCAGAGAAGGCCAGAAACGCTCAGCCACTGCTTACACAAACTCAGGTGTCTCACAGTCAGTCTCACAAATCATGCAAAGTTTGTTTGTGATGCTTGTAATGCCATAATTCTTGCTGGTAGAAAAAAAAATGTAGTTGCATCTACTCAACTTTACTAGCTAAAAAAAAACCATTTTTTGCATTCTTTTCCCTTCTCCCCATATTTTTTAATCTGAAAAAAGGGAGCACACCCTAAGTATATGCCCTCCTGAATGTACACACTGTGCACGTGGACTGGCACCGAACCTTTTCCTTCCTTCCTGGCAGTGCATTTCACCTCTCCCTCGAGTTGGCATCAGCACCCACAGCCCGCTCACCCAGCTAGGTCAGCAAGCTGACCTGGCTGGAAAAATATCTATTTACCTCACACCTAAATCAATGATGTGAATTCCAAGCTCCTGATTTTTTTCTATTTAGTGAAATTGTGTGGATTTAGAATTTTTCTTCTCATTTGTACTTGATTCTGCAAATGTGGTAACCGTCCTTGTGCTCCCGCTGCAGAACTTCCAGATGAGTAAGTGGTTTTGAAAATAGGTGTTGGCCTGTCCCTTACGATCCCTGATACGGATTCCAATCTCTTGCTCCTTTTTCTCCTGGCCCAGTTGTGACAGGACATTATTTCCCTCCTTGAGCTCTTGTACATCTGCAGAGATAAACAAACACTCAGAGATGATTGTGTAGGTGGCTGGGGGTGTGAACATGTGCAGACAATGAAGAGTAAGGACTTTAATACATGTTTCAAAATACATTTCTTTACATGTCAGGAAAACCCGCTGATTCCTGCTACTTCCTTGATTATATTTACTTGCAAGCTGTGTCTTAAGATTCATTTTAGTTCTGATTTTGTGTCCAAATTAGCTAATATGCTTTAAATTTTCCCTGAATTAAAACCAGATTGACAACCTGAAGAAGAGTAAGGATGAAGCATATATCATGGCAGATGCCTTCAGAATTGCATTTGAGCAGCAGCTGATGCAGAGGAAGGACCAGGCCCTGAGGCTGGCGGAAGTGGTGAACATGAAGAAGGAAACCAAATTTTCAAACTGGAGACGTCTGCGAGGCACTGGTAGCTGGGCAGTCTGTGTGTCTGGGGGCTGGCTGGCAGAGCAGGGAGCAGGAACCCCTCTCCCTGACCGAGGGCTATGGGCAGCAGCTGAGAAAAGCTGATTTTGGGCTCTTCTAGGTGCTACCAGCAACTTCTCTGGGGTTTGGGGTTTTCTTAAAATGAGCTCTATGGAAGAGTTGGGGAAGGAGCAGAAATGCAAAAAAAAAAAGGTATAGTTGGAACTTTGTAGCTCCAAATGGGGTATTGAGCAACCTGGTCTAGTGGAAGGTATGGAAAGAGATGAGCTCTAAGGTATCTTCTGTCTTCTAATCATGGCTGTTCCATGGTTCACTGGGGTACTAAATAGATTTTTTTTTCTGTTTTTTCTTAAAAGATTTTTTGCCTTTTATCATGCATGTGTCTCAATTTTAGTGTTTATTAATGTTCTTACACTAATACAGAATTACAAAGCCCTGTAAAAGAGGAAAAATTCCAATCTTTGATCAAAAGATCATCATTCTAATGGTCTTTCATTCTTTTAAAAAATATAAAGGGATAAAGAAAAGTACTTAAGTGCTTACATCATGGTCAAAACCACTGCAGACTTTAGGAATGGCACAGTATATTTGTTTTGACCACTGGCCAGGAGGTGCCAGGCTTAGAAGTGTGGTGTGTCTCCCAGATTCCTTGGGCACTGCTGCACTATAACTGCAGAACCTTGAGTAGCCGTTTCCCCTGTACTGACACCCTTGCTTTCAGGTTTTGTTACCTGGCACATATGTTCCATAATTTTAATGTTTTTTGCTATTTCTGGAAATCTTGAAAACTTTAAGTGACCTGTGTCAGGGGATCTTTGGGTTTTTTAGGCTACTTACCATTTAAAAACAGATTACCACAAATTATTGTTTAACTAGAGTGTCAAAAGTATATTTTTCATGGAGCAAGAAGAATTCTCAATGTGTCCACGTCTAAGTCTGTGTAGGCATTATGTGACAGCAGGAGCAGTGCTGGGTGGCGGGAGCCTGCAGTGCTTGCATAGAAGAACCTGCAGCTCCCATTGCCCATTTTGATGAGATCATCCAGTTCCAGGTTTATCCCAAAGTAGTTTTTCCCTTCCTGAGCAATTCTGGTGCACTTTTGTTTTCCTTAGAGCGTGTCAAGTTACAGGGGAGCAAAAACAACCTGGGGCGGAAGCTGTCCAGCCTGCTCTCATCAGATGGGGACTGCAGGAAGGTCGAGGAGCTGGACAACGCCCACGAAATCCTGAGGATGTTGATAGATCTGGTCAGTGTTTGGTTCAGCCTTCCGGAGCGCGTGTGCTTGCTGGGTTTAGAGCCCTGAGCTGAGCGTGGCCTGCTCTCCTTTCTGTGGCCCGGCAGGTGAACGACAAGGAGGAGGCCCTGGCGCACCAGCGCAAGGTCAGCTACATGCTGGCACGGGCGGCCGAGGCCACGGAGCCCGGGCCGGGGCAGGAGCGGGGGGACACGGCAGGCAGGTGTCGGCTCGGAGCCCAGAGCCCCCCGGCCGCCCCTCACGCCGACGGGCATCGCCTCCCTGCCCTCACGGGAGCACCGCGGGCCGCA